GGAAAATTATCTTAAGACACCCTCTCGAAACTGAACGGTTATGGAAGTGGTATGAGATTTGAGTCAGTGTTCCTCCGTAGCAGTCCATTTTTGGAATGGTCTGTGAGTGTAAGGTATCCTTCAGTATTTAATAAGTTCGTCAAAATATTATCTTTTCATATTATTCTTCAGCTAAGAGTAAAAATTTTTGCATTAAAAAGGATTTTTTCAAACCCCCATAAATACACAAGTTCTTTTCCGTTTTCCGTTGATCAGTCAATGAACCGTATGAAAGATTGGGTAAGTCAACCGTTTCACTGAAACGATAAACAAGATTGATTAAGCTGAAACCGCACGCTATTATTTCAACCATTTAATGGACTTTATACCCCGAGGCAATAGCTTAATTACCTGTGACTTAGAGAACCCTTTTTAAAATCAATCTTTTCTAGCAAAATCTAACAGACAAGTAAAAGGCGAAACTAACCGCTAGTCCAGTGAAGAGAAATCAATATTCTCTACTTCACTTGTTATCAGTGTTTCGACCACCCGCTTTTTCGTTAATATCAACGACAACGAAGCTTAAATGTTAACCTTTTTTAACGTAGTGGTGACCGTAGGTAGGTTAAGAGAATTGAGGGCGAGTATCAACCAGGGAGTGCATTTTGATTAGAGACCAAATTCTAAAGAAAATTATTGAAAAAAAGGAAAGCATGTTTCTAGGAAAATTAATCTTACGATCTTTGCAGTTAAATTGCTCACTCCAAATTTACGAGGAAACAATATTTTTAACCGCACAAAAGAATTATTGACAACCTTTTTTTTCAGTAAGTTGGGACAGGTCTCGATAAAAAACTTCCTTTAAGAAGTGACTGCATGAGTGATGTATCATTTCCGTATAACACTCCCTGAATCGAATGAAGGATATCGTTTTCCCTTCCGAAATAAAACTGGGACTAATGACTTACTGAAGAGTGATTTAATAAAAATGAAAACTGTTAAAACCGATAAAGATATTGATTAGCTGTACATTTTAAATTCAGCTGAGAGTTAGCAACCAACAAAGCATGAAAAATATTGTGACGAAAGTTTCGAAGCCGCATCAGTAAAAAAAATTGCATGTTCCTGATTTAAACCGCCTAAAGCAAGCCACAGGAAGCCGTCGCAAATGGCGTTTTTTGCTTGGCATCCTGTTAAGATTATTTACGAGGTGGTCTTTTGCTTCACTTTTAGCGATGAAGTGGACTGATGGGTTTGTTGCTGTTCGAACGATGGGGTCAGTAACGGATAAACACCTCTTTATACTTGAGTTCTGCTTCCTTTTCAAAATGATCTCATCTGAAATAGGCAATTTTCGCTTTTGCTAAGAATGGTATTGAGGGATGAAAGATACTTCGGGGCCGGTCTTAGTTATTGCTCCGTTCCCCTTGAAAATGATGTGATCAACCTGACAACCATGTGATCCCCCAAAAATCCCCCGCCCCGCCTCGAAAGTTTCAATTAGTTTCCACTAAAAAAAATGCAATGGAACAAACTATATTCAAAATTGGCGGCACAATATGCTTATTTGCATCACTGCTCATTCAAAGACAATTATTCGTGATCAAAAGTCGTAGATGATGCTATAACTTCAACGCAAAATTTGCTGGACTGTGCATTTATTAACGACTATAAATTTTAAAGATAAATGATTTGCTACGCGTGCTGTTATCGAATTGGAGTAGGTAAACACGCTCTCTCGAATTCTTCCACTGCCCTTAATGTTCATCTACATAAACAGGAAAAAATCCTATAACAGCAGGGAATTTTTGACGGATTATTCCCACGCACCTAAGCGATTCGTTTACTTACGCACCAGCCTCTGAGACGTTATAATTTGAAGAAGTTGCATCAGTAAATTTTGCATATGTTTAGCAAACTGAAGGAATTAATGACGTAACCTCTTTAAAAGGTGTGTCATTTCCGCCTATTAAGTTTCACTTTCGTTTCTTGTTACCTATCGAACATTTTATCCATTAGCCACGCTGCTCTGAAGATTGGGCGTTCACTTCCTATGTCATCAACAACCGAATAAATTTCATTATCATCCAATTGCATTGGGTAGCGATATTGTACGGTTATCTTGACAGTTGGTTACTTCGTGTTATAAAAATACCTTTTTACCCAGTCGGCTGGGCGCACTACGCTTCCCTAACCACTTTCCTTTCTTCGCCTTATGAGAAATGAACAGAAAGACTTGGCAGAAAAAAAAAAGCAGTTGGATGATAAATAACTTATTTGACGTTTCTGTGTGCAGTATAGCTGGGTATTTTTACTCGTTATTTGTGTTTTGACACGTCCTACGGGCTCGTCAAAATATGGCACAACTCGTATAAATACTCAGCGATAGTACTCACCAAAAAGTCTACTTGGATATATTTACTTTCACTTTATTGACTCATTCTACGCTTCAATGCGATTATTGGATGCTAATAAAACTAAGAATATTTTAATTCAAGTCTAAAAAAGAGTCAGATACCTACATTCGTAGCAAATTTTTAATAGCACATTGTAGTTGGAAATTTAAAAAAAAAATGCTCTTAACTGTTCACACGAGAACAGATAACATGAAACTAACAACGTTTTCTAATTTACCTTTTATCTTTTGCTCTAAGGATTATTTTCGTTTGATAAATTAGAATATATATTACCATAAATTTTTTTTTTTAGGGATCACATTTTACATTACGATTTAGCTTTTGACACAGTCGTAAGCCACTGATAGAATCTTGCCATTTGAGAAAGTTACAAACCTTACTTTCTCTTTACAATCCTTTTTGCAATGTGGTATCTCAAAGACATAATTATAAATTAGATGATGATCAAATTTCTTTATACACTGATTGTCTTTCATACTCTTTGGAAACCTTCTCTTGAACTGTTCAACATGTTCTCCTTGGGTCGCTGAAGTTAAGTATGTAGTTTTCTCTGATTTTGCGCCGTGAACCATACGCCGATCTTGACTCGTATTGACGGTTCTTTTCCCTGAAGAATTTATCATCCCATGGAATAGAGAGACTGATGAAATCCTAGGTCTTGCTTGCACTTGTATACTAGAGTTCATCATTAATACGCACAGAGCCATGGATAGTAACTGAACAAATGTTTAAGGAACAAAATTAGTTAAATAAATCAATAATTCTTCTAGTTTCAAATAAACGTTTTAATTCTGTTTTCGGCAAACTGAAAGATGTAGGAATTGAAAATAACCAAAAGACAATTTGTGCGGAGAGATAGCTCATCAGAAAGTAAAATTTCAATTCAATTGAAGTGGTCATACCAATAACGTAAAGCAAAACGAAAACAGAAATATGTTTATCCTATTAGACGTTTCGGTGTGTAGTATCGCTCAGTATTTTTACGAGTTGTGCTGCATCATTTTGACGAGCCCGTAAGACGAGTCAAAATACAAACAACGAGTGAAAATACTCAGTGATGCTACACACCAAAACGTCTAATAATTTATTTATTATCCAACTGCCTTTTTTCTGCCAAGGCGGGAAAAGCAAAGCGGATTGAGAAGCGTTGTGCGCGCGGCCGATTAGTTAAACAAGTTTTTTTTACCGTACATAATAACTAACTGTCCAAATAACCGTACAATATCGCAGGATATTTGTACTCTTTTCGCGCGTTATTTCTACTCTACTTTGTGCAGTTGGATAATAAATATATACATTTATATTTGTCATAACGGTACTAATGAGTATTTAAAAATGTCACGCTAAAACAAAACTATGCATTATTAAATAAGAATTTAGCCTTTACCTGAATTATCACCGAGGCAGACATGTTCATCTCTTCTTCGCTCGACCGCGCTGAAGACTTCTGAATTCACTCAGTTTGCTCAGTTCCTAGGTCCTGTTTAAATAGTCCTTTCGTATGATTTCGACAACTAAAAATACTTTAAACCGTTTAAGTGACGTTTCTATTCTTTTTAGGACGTACCTGTGAGTCAGTTCCGCATGACCGGGCATCAAAGGGAGGCTTAAATCAGCAGTTACGTCTAATTTTCCTTAAAGTAGCCTTGATCAAAAGAGAGAGAAAAAATTCCCCTTAATTTCTGATGTTAAGTTAAATCACGCCACAATTTTCCGTATCGTACTTTTCCTCAAAAATTTCTTATAAAAATTGTTCAAAATATTCATCCTCTTTTCTTTTATGCTAAGGAAAATAATGAACCAAAACTTAATAAAAGAAAATTGAAAATACTATACTATTCCACGATGCTTTTAACCACTAAACCATTTTCAGTGAACAAGTCATATAAAAAATGTGTTTATTTGGTTCTTTTATATGATCGTCCTAAACTATTATAAGTTTTGTAGAATTGGCACTTTCCCATAGGGATTTTTCTTACGAAATTTTTCTTTATATTTGCAACTTCGATCAGGTTGTCTCCCTAAAAATTCTGCATTTTGTGTCATATAAGAAACTATGATACGTATGAACTGTTAAATTCCTCATGAATGGAACAAATCCAAACTTCAGAAACTGTCAGTAAAACTAGATAACATTCTGTGCTGTCGTTTCGTAACACTCCAAAAATAAACTCAAAAGTTTATTATGCCTACGCAATGACGCATTTGAAGTCTGCTTTCATGTTGGAAGGAAATCGAAAGTAATTTACCGAGGGAAAGTTTGTCTTTTGAATTTATGAGATGAGGCAATACTCCCTCTGCCTTGTCTCATTCTTTCATTTTTTTGAACCAAAACATTTTTATGCACTTTGCATTACTTACTTGAGTGAAGGATACTTAGTTTGATTAATGCATTTTCTAGTCTGATTGTACACTATTTTGTAATTGTGTTATTGCACGATTTGCCTGGCAAGTCAAGTGTGACTGAATTACCATGCATCGTATATTTTCCGTATTTAAATCACTGTTTTTCACAGTGGGTATACTGATCAATTGACTTCGTTTTCGTGGATGTTGAAAGTATTTTTTCGGCCGAAAATGTCCATAATGGGGAACAAATATTAGCCTGTAGTACCAATTATAAAGCCAGGTTGGCGGACACGGCTTCATAGTTCTTTTATACAAACTGACACGAGCCAAAATTATTCATCAAGGTTCCTAAACTACGCACGAGTGATTTACACACAAAAAAGCCTGAGGAGGCTTTTGTCTAAAAACGTTTGATCTGTAACAGACAGTAGACACAGCTGAGTCGAAATAGTAACGGAAGAACATGCCCTATTAGTTACGTCTGTTGTAGGTACCCTGAATTATTTGACACGCGCCAAAATTATTCATCAAGGTTCCTAAACTACGCACGAGTGATTTACACACTAAAAAGCCTGAGGAGGCTTTTGTCTAAAAACATTTGATCTGTAACAGGCAGTAGACACAGCTGAGTCAAAATAGTAACGGAAGAACATGCCCTATTAGTTACGTCTGTTGTAGGTACCCTGAATTATTTTAACTGTTTTGGAAATGCCTATTAATAGAGGTCTGGATGACGACAGGTACACTGATTGAGGTTTCACGCTCCAATGTCCAACCATAATCTTCGCTTGTGGAGCAATTCTCTTTCAGTACTATTCCATTTTAAAACGGAAAAAAAATTATTGGATGAGGAACTGTGAAATTATTTGAAAGTGTTTTTAAATCTACTTGCATAAACCAACCCAACTTTTTTTTACCATATCTCATTTGACAGTGATATCAGGACGAAGTAAAAATTTCTGTGCGTTTTTAAAATGTGCTTTATTCTCAAATTTAGCTTAACTTGACAAAATGCAAAAGTGTTTTTGCCATAATTTAATATACCCAGCTTCTACCGCCGCCAAATAAACCGCTGTGACGAATGCATGCTGAACGCTTGCCCTGAAGCACTTTCCATCCACTTGAACAATTAATCCTGAGGTAACAAACCTTTAATAGCGTGGTTTATATGAAAACCCTTTACATGAAGTACTTTTGAAACGTAACCGCTGGCAAAAACATTATGGAGCAAGTCTACATGTTCTGGCAAGTATTCTGCTTATGATAAATCTCACCGAGTTTTTACAATTAATATCTAGGTGTTTAAAATCTACAGGGATCGTCGCCATGGTATTGTTCGTTTCAAGGCGTTCTTCTCTGAGGACAAGAATTATTCTTCCTGTTCGCTCTAATGTACTGTTTACCATTTTTACTCCAATCAACTGCTGTCGAGAAATTGTCCAAGTACAACAGGCGTCTTCGCTTGTCTTCCTTACCCAGGATCAAATACACTTTGTTGACCTTCAGATTACTGCAGCTGCAGGTTATTTCCAGTCCTCTCTTGTCCAATAACTGATGTCTGTTGTTGATCTTGACTCTCCCTTGTTTGTACATGCGCAGTATGCGGACTCGTAAACGTGGCAAGCCATTTTTCATAATCTCGGATTCCATTCGGGCTTTGATCACTGACAAGTAAACACAAATGAATGAGATTGTTATTAGCGTACGCACAGATTGGGTCCGTATTGATTATTTATTTTCTCATCATTAAGTTGCATTTTGCATAACGACTCGTATTCGTATTGAGTTAGTACTAAACACCAGGTTGAAGTCCACAGATAGAGTTCTGCATTTACTTTGCCGAGGTCACTGATATGTGAGAAATAACTTCTGTGTTTAAAAGCGATTCTTGTAGAACACAAATATCTTGCCATAGGGTTCACAAATGCTAAAAGACTCTTAGACAATACTTCACGCGTGATTCATATCAAACTATTGCATCGATCAATCAACATTCCTCCGGGCAGATCTCCCGAATATCTGAACTTTTGAAGATTTGCTTGTTCAAATTCACTTCCCCGGAAAAAATTGTTTTCAAGTGCCTCACCCGAGTGCCGGATATGATGGTAAGTTTTTTTGTTTTCTTTTTTTTGAAAGGAAAAATCAGCTACCGTGACTTTTTACACATTGACCGAGCTTTAAAACTTAGACCTTGTAGATCTTTTCTTCTGAGCAATTTGCTCGCAAAGCGAACTGTCTACCTTTAAACACCTCCATATCTGAAGATATAACACTTGTATCCCGCTGTAAAGACATGAAACTTCCGATTCAAATTCCCCACCCCAGTCAAAAAAGGTTCAAATCACCCATCCCCGGGCACGGACGACGGTCAAATCCCCGTCGGTTGTCTGTGAGGGATATTGAAGCTTCGAATTGAATGGTGCATAAGAAGCATGAATAAAATACTACAGAGTTTGATCAGCTTTCATAAAAGGTGATTTAACCCCAAGTAGCAATGACGTAACTCACCAAAATCACTCAAACAGAACCTTCTCATGACATGTCTCCTATTGCACCTTTTATTGCAAATCTTTGGAGGAGGAAGTGGTGAGCCTCCTTGTTCTGAGGAATTCCGCCCCGTGTTGGTCCGTTTGTGTTTGTCTAGAACAAATATGGGACTACAGACATTAAACTGATAATTCCACACGCTGTTACTTAAATGACATGCGCTTGATATGTATACCTATCTCGAAGGGTTCCCTTTCGTTGGAAAAAAGTTCATTAGGATTACATGTTTATCCTCCTTGAAGTTCGGCACTCTGAAATATTTCGATTCAGGTCCTTCCTCTATTCAGAATCTTCATGAAGTGACTCAGTAATACACTAATTTCTTTTTTCAAATCCTTCACTTCCCTCTCTCATCATTGTTTCCTTTATGCGTAGTTTTTTCAGTCATTTCTTTTTTTCCTTTGCGTACTTACCAGCCACGCAGTTGCGCCTCAAAGTGAGGCTCAAAGGACCCCATATCTGGCTTCCGGCCACCTCAGCAAAGCTAATGTTAATGGTTAGCAGGGCCTCTCCTGTTACCTTCCCGGTGCACGGGAATTTCACCCGGAAAACTGCAGAAGAAAAGGATTACGCTCAATGGCTGATTAAGTTCTGTGCCCACAAAAGAACTAGATCTGTAATCAGACCCTCTTCAGCAAAGAGTAAGACATAACGTGTTGAGGAAAAGGGCCGTTGCGAAGCTAATACCAATGATGCAGATAGCGTTGTAAATGGATTAAATTTATTTCAGATCTTCCTCTTTTTCATAAAACCTTTTAAATCCTTAATCTCGTTTAACTGTGGTCTGGGTTATGTCGTTTCTTAATACTACACGAAAATTCACTTAACAATCGAATCATCCTATCTTCCTATGTTCCGGAGAATATTTTTTAGTAAGCCTTTTTGTTCAAGGTTAGTGCGATGTGCGGCCCTGCATAGACATGAATAATCAATAGACTCTTGACCTTGCAGATTTGGTGAACTGTAATTTAAAGGACATGTATCAAGGAGATTTTGACCCTCCGTGCTTGAAGACCCAGGAGAGATATCACCGGTTCTTTTGAAACATAATCTGATAGGAAATAGCATCAAGAATTCCTCTATGTCCAAGTCAAAATAAAGTAAAACTAATGGATTTTAACCCATCGCAGGATTTTAGAGTGGAAATTGACCATTAATGTGTAAAATAGAATACCCATATTAATAATTTGCTAAGGTTGTTAATAAGAGGATTAACGTCGATTATACCAGAAAAAGTGAATCCTCTTAATCTGTCATCCGGTGCCAAAGTAAAAGTTTGGGATGTTTCAGGTCAGTGGGCTAATAATATCAAAATATTCTCTACTTTGTGTAATTGATATAAATAATCTGCTTTCTTATGCTCATAAAACCATACAACATGACTAACCAACTTTCTGTGCCCCAATCAAAAGATATATGTAATAATGATGATATTCATGAAACGTGGTCAACCTGAATTTTTCTTTTAAAATTCTCTACGTTTTCTTTCCTCAATGTTTCGTACCAGAGGGGTCACTTTTTTCCCTCTTGCACCATTCTCGTGTTTTCAATTGGCCAATAGAGCTTAAAAGGCGGAGGTAGTCTCCTTGCGACATAAATTCCTTTTATGTGACCCTTACCCAGGTTATGAAACTCTTGAGGATAGAAAGTATATGAATCTTTATGGAGTTAGGTCTCGTGCCCTCAGTCACCTGCATCGAAGGGTAAAAAT